GTAGTAGTAGTCGTAGTAGTAGTAGGAGTAGTAGGAGTAGTAGTAGTAGTAGTGCAGCAATGCTGTCTTGTTTGCAACCAATGTTCTCTCTGCAAGAATCTGTGGGCATTGTTTTTTTGGCGAGTGAATACTATAAATTATGGATCTCGACTCATCTCGACTGGGAATTGGGCTAATTACGCGCAATTTTTGGACGAATACTAAATCAAATTTGATCTGGATCGGCTAGTATACTGTAAAGTAAACCAAGCTTCCACCTTCTTACTTACTTCACTAAATGTTGGAAGTATGTGTGTGTAAATCAAGCGCGCTTGCAACATGATTTACATCCGGTGTTTTCATGTTGCATATCTTGTGATTGTATAGAAGCTTGTATGTTGCATAATGTTGCATATATACAAATTACCACCATGGATTTACAACCTCCAGATGTTACGGTGCAAACGATATGTCTACCCACCTCGAAGTGCTCAGACTGACAACACTGAGACTGAATTGGAATAATTCAGGCGCGAAAAAGGTAGCACGGCGCTCGAAGTCCGTGAACACGTCGAAAACGATGGTGCTTCGAGAAGCACCGCGGCCGCGCCTTTTCTCAAGGCGAACGCCCACCCGAGGCTCGAGTGGGAAAGTGTCGGGCATGAAACAGTTCGAAAAGGCTGCAACCCTAAGTGCACAGCGTGAACTTTACATGGAGGAAAAGGGGTCTCCAGCAAAGCTATGCTCGAACCTATCGAGCCATTGGAAGACTCTGGTGCGCATCGATGCTGCACCATCAGGATCAGAAAGATCCGGCGGAATGATCCGCAAGCTACACAAGCGGCAGCTGTCAACTCGCCTCTGAAGGCGGGTGTCTCTTCCATCAAGACTCGGGCAGTTCGGGTCCACATGCCACTTGGCTCCGTGGCGGCTCATCACCACACCCCGGTAGAACGGGCACTCATTTCCATGCTCGTCCATCTGGCGAAGGGCGGACTTGATGATGTCCTTTGCGTCATGGACCAGGGTTACAGCATCGTTCTGGCCTTGGATGGCCAGGTTCAAAGCCGCTCGGGCTTCACATGCAGCAAGGCGGGACTCCTCTGCTTTGTTGCTCCATCGCAAGATCTCTTGCTTGAGCCTCTTGACTTCTTCTCGAAGGCGGGCAGGGACGATCGCTTCGTCTTTCTGCACTCCAGCCTCTTGGACATTGGCACGTACTTCAGGAGGTGCTCCATGGCTATAGCGTCCAATCATGAAAGCTGTGCTCAAAATGAGCACAAAGAAGGTGCACAGCATCACACCAAACCAGTCCACTTCAGCTCCAGCTTCACTTTCGGCATGTGTTGCCGATGCCAGTTGAGGGGCCATGAACAAAAGCAAACACCAAAACATGACATTCGGCATGCGACCGGTGAAGGGCTCTACCATGCGGCTCTCGACATGGCTCGGACTGTGGGAGACATACTTTAACTTCAGGTCGGTCCGCGCAAGCCTGACATTCTCAGGGAACAGGGCATTCCTGGAAATTTCTTCATTCCAAAACACTTGCTCATCGACAAAAACTTCATTCTCTGGGAGATGCTCGTCGATGGGCTCCAGGTGCTCTTCAGGGAGGTGGTTCTCCTCATCAGGCAGGGGCTGTGTGGGTACCTGAATGCTTTCAGCAAGGCTCTGTTGGAGCTCAGCTTTTGTTTTCTTCTTGGCCGCTTTGTAGGAGGGGTCCCAAACAAGCTTCAAACGACCGTGACGGAGTCGTTGTGCAAGAAGTGCTCTGGCCGACTCTTTTGTCAATCCGTCAGCCAGTTGGCGCTCCGATGACATCCACCGCAAAGAACCGCCGAGGGAAGTGAGGCGATCCTTCATCACACGGATCTCAAGCGAAACTCGCTTGTCAACCACAGAGCTTCCGACTCCTTCTCGATGATAGGAGTCGTAAAGGGCCTTGGCGTCCGTGATCATGGTGGGCGACAACAAGGATGGAGCGTCCAAGAGCTCTTTGAGTCGCTGGCGAGGGTCAACCAACAAGCTCCAGTAGATGCTGGCATGTTCCAATGCATCG